TGAGCATATACAGTGCCTTTCATTCTCCCCAAGAATGCGTCGGTTGTGAGACCTGTGGCTGAAGCTTCATCTCCTGGAGCAATATTTGAAGGTTTCTTCAGGTCCTGAGGAGACTAGCTCCAGAGTGCTGATAGTGAACAAGCCAGTTTTATCAAGCAACCCCAAAAATCAGCATCAAGACAAGACCTGACATCGAGACAAGACCTGGCAATGGCACTGACGCCTCTGGCACCAAAGCTGACTCCACCAGTGCTGTGGACACCTCCAGTACCTTATTCTGGCATGAGAGAGGTTGCTCCAAATACAGAGAGAGGCACTCCAGGCAGAACTCCAGCATCTTCCCACAAAGACTGACTACCTAAGGATAAAACTACCATGCCAAGCTGGTGTCGAGGGCTGGTGATGAGCAGCTTGTAACACAGAGGAGGACTCCTTTGGCACTGACCCAGATCATTGGTAAAAACTCTGGTATGGAGTGTGATGCATGTCTCGGTGCTGCCCCTAGAAGAGGTCTACTCAATGTCTGTCTCCAGCACATATGTTCCTTGCACTTTTAAGCAGAGAATTCTCTCCTCTGAGATCTGTGGCCAACCTCACAGGAAGACCTGTCAGCTCTCCTTACAGGGATCAGTGGTCACCTTGTCAGGAATGGCTTTGGACTGACCAATACCAATCATATGGCATGCCACTGTGTCCCTTTTGAATGTATTGGGGTCTGCCATCCCAGACCTCTAGGAACTGGTTTACAGGACATTCAAGGAAGAGGAAGAGATCATTCTCTCCATCAGCTTCTCTGGACAGACCACCTATGCCAGACTTCCAGGAAAAAAACACGCGGGGGCAGAACAACTACAACAGCATCCTGTTTTGCCACCAAAGGGCCAGTCATCCTCATTGCCCAATGAGGTCATGTCTTTGGCACTATATCTGGTGCCAGGTGACTTCCAGTCATTCTAAGAACTCCTTATGAGAATTGCTAAGATTCAGGCAATAGAGACTTCCTATTGCATATCAGAGAAAGCTTATAAGCCTTTTGATATTTTGACAGCTCCTGGGGCAGCCAGAATCGTCCTCCCCATAAATGAGGAACTGTTGGACCTGAGCCATGTGGCAGATGCCAGCCATAATAACACTCATTGGAACATGGGTGTAGAGAAGCAGCACCAACTAGAGTTGGGTGAATAACTTTGTTGGCAGTTCTGAAAAAAAAAAATTATTTGTGTCAAACAGAAACCAGGTTTTTTTCCCAGCATTTTCAGTGAATTAAAGATGGAAATGTTTTTGTCTGGGATGTTGCCCCAGGTCCTGCAGGACCACACTTGGTGGTTGGACGGAGTATGTCCGGAAGGGACTTCCCTTCTTGACCCCACTCCCTGATGATGACACTCATCACAGACACTTCAGAGACAGGTTAGGGTGCCCATCTGGGTCATTTGCAGATGCAGGGGACCTGGTCTCCGGACGATTTGAAGCTGCATCTGAACGTCCTGGAGCTGAGGGTCATCCAGTGGCCTGCATTGTCGTAGAACTGGACAGACAACACATCCTTAATGTACTGCATATACAAGCAAGGAGGCACTCGCTTTTCCCCTTCATGCCAGGAAGCCATCAGACTATGCACTTGGTGTCCTCACCAGGGGCAAACCCTATTGGCTCTACTTCTTCCAGGAACCAGAACAACCTGACAGACTTTTCAAGCCAGCATATGGTAACCAACCACAAGTGGTGATGGCAGATGTCCATCACAGCACCCATATTTTGCCAGTGGGGTATTCCCATGATAGAATTGTTTGCCTCATAAGACATTGGCAAGTGCCCATGCTTCTGTTCCAGAGGAGGCATAAGTCTGTGTTTTTTGCCAGACATCTTCCTGCGATGGTGATCACCGGACCTCCTATACATCTCTCCCGTGACTCCCCTGTTCTCCAGGGTGATCTCAAAAGTCAGACAGTCAATCCTAAGAGCTCCTTTCTGGCTGAGGCAGTTTTGGCTCTGATCTTTTGCCCATGTTTATTCAGCCTCCCATCCATCTCCCATTCTGCCCGGATGTAATATCTGAGAACCACTGCCAAATATTGCACTCAAACCATGCACCTGATGGTGTGGATTTTGGCTGATTGAACATTGCTGACAGATTGTTCTCAACAAATTTAAGAAATTCTCATACAGAGCAAGAAGCCATCTATTAAAGATCCACTCCTCCGAATGGAAATGAATCTCCATATGAGCACTCCAATATAATCTGGAGCCCAGCAGAGGCTCTGAAACTCAGGATACTCAACTACAAGCTGCATTTGCACATAGTCCTTGCAAATTTCATCTTGCAGCTATTTCGGCATGCTAGCTCCAATACAGTCATACTTGTCTTCTCACATCCAACAGTATTGAGATTCCTCAAGGACTTCCTGCTTACTTACCCACCTGTTAGAGACCTGCCTCCTACATAGAATCTCAACATTGTCCTCCTAACACAGGGGTGGCCAACCTGAGCCCAGAAGGAGCCAGAATTTACCAATGTACATTGCCAAAGAGCCACAGTAATACGTCAGCAGCCCCGCATCAGCTCCCCCTCCCCTGCTCCCAGCGCCTCCCGCCCACCGGCAGCCCCGCCGATCAGCGCCTCCTCCTCCCTCCCTGCATTTCCCGATCAGCTGTTTCATGGCGTGCAGTAGGCTCTGGGGGGCTGGGAGAGGAGTGAGGGGATGGCAGGCTCATGGGAGGGGGCGGGAAGGGGTGGAGTGGGGATAGGGCCTGTGGCAGAGCCAGGGGTTGAGCAGTGAGCGCCCTCCGGCACATTGGAAAGTTGGCGCCTGTAGCTCCAGCCCCGGAGTCGGTGCCTGTACAAGGAGCCGCATATTAACTTCTGAAGAGCCGCATGTGGCTCCGGAGCCGCAGGTTGGCCACCCCGTCCTAATGTTTATGGAGTCTCTGTTTGAGCCATTATTGGATTGTTTGATTAATCACTTTACCCTTATGACAGTCTTTCTGGTTATCATCACCTCAGTGTGGAGGGTCTACAAGCTCCAGGCCATTATGGCCAGACCTCCCTAGGCGTCTTTCACAGGGACAAGATGGTTCTGAGACCACACACTAAATTCATCCCTAAGGTCGTCTTGGAGTTTCACCTGAAGTAGTCAATTAACTTACCCATTTTCTCCCTAAAGCCACATTCAATGCCAGAAGAGAAGAAGCTACCTTGGACATTTCCAGAACCTTGCTCTATCATCACAAGACCAAAATGTTTAATCTTTCTCCTCATGTTTTTTTGGCTGTATCCCCATGCTATTTTTTCCCATACTGTTACTCACACCTTCTTGTCAACTGTTGGAAATGGGCCATCCTGATTATCACTACAAAAGTTTTTTTTTCTCCTGCTGATAATAGCCCACCTTAATTGATTAGTCTCGTTATAGCTGGTATAGCAATACCATTTTTTCATGTTCTCTGTGTATATATATCTTCCTACTGTATTTTCCACTGCATGCATCTGATGAAGTGGGTTTTAGCCCACGAAAGCTTATGCCCAAATAAATGTGTTCGTCTCTAAGGTGCCACAAGTACTCCTGTTCTTTTTGCATCTCATCAGCGAAAATCTCTAAGTGGATCACTTAGTGCATCTCCTGTTATCAGTTAGGTGGCGAGCCTCTCCCTCCAGACATTAGGGCATGCTCCACCAGGGCATATGCAGTGTCTTTGGCCTGCTTCAGAAACGTACAAGTATCTGAGATTTGCAAAGCAGCAATATGGAGCAAGCCATTGATATTTGTCAAACGTTACACCCTTGTTGTGGTGGTTAGTACTCGTGCCAGATTCGAGAGAGCTGTACTTCAATCGCTAGCTGACTAATGCAGCGGGCGCGCCTCATTCTCACTGTCCAGAAGGAGTACTGTTTGCCAGTCCTGTGCAGTGGGATCCATACTGACACATACTTGGAGACAATGGTAACTGTGGTTCTTTGAGATGTTATAATCCAGTGCAGATCCCATGATCTGTCCTACATCCCTGCTTTTTGGAGTCCTCGGCAGCATGGTCTTTAAATTGTGAGGGACCTGAGGGAGAGTCATTGCCCCTTATCCTTTGTACTGGAGCACAAGAGGGCACAGGACACATGCATGGCCCCTGACATACACCACTATTCAAAATACTTGGGCCTCATGTGCATGGGGCGCATGCGCTCCTACAGTGGTATCCACACTGACTTATGCTGGAGAATTCGTTCAAATGTGTAAAGTGTCTTGACTACATTCTGCAAAGTTTATCAGGGTCCCAGAGTTTTAGGTGTTTTATGGCCAGCCGCAGTTGAAAAGTGCTCACGCCAGGGCTGGAAATCAGTTGATCTGAGCTCTGTCTATGCACCTACCACAGACTTGATTGACGTTATCTTTCTGTGCTCAAGCTTCCCTGTCTCTAAATGAGGATAGTATCTTTTAGGTGTGGTTGAATATATGTAAAAGTGCTGTAGTATCCTTGAGTTAAAGATGTCTTTATAAGTGCAAAGTGTTACGTCAGGGGTTTTCAAATTAGGGGTCATGACCTCTCGGGGGTCAGGAGGTTGTTACATGGGGGTCATGAGCTGTCATCCTCCACCCCAAACCCTGCTTCGCCTCCAGCATTTATAATAGTGTTTAAAATAAAAAAAAGAATTTTTAAATGTATAAGGGGGGGGTCACACTCAGAGGCTTGCTATGTGAAAGAGGTCACCAATACAAAAGTTTGAGAACCACTGTGTTAGGCGGTGCTGCCTAATACTGCTAGGGTAAATTATTCCTCCTAATCCTTAGGGAATGAGTGTGGCCAAACTTAGTCAGTTTAACCTGTGACTAACTTTTAAAAGTAATTAATTCTGTCCTTTGGCCTCAAGTTTCCTTTCTCTGCCATTTCTGGCTCCCACATTCTCTTTCACAGACAGACTATCAATATATGCGGTTGATTTTAATTCTGTATAATTTACTTGTATTTTATTTCAGAACGGATAATGTTTCTAATGTTTATATTTTTAGCTCATACCTTTAGATATTACACTGGAACTCCAAAAGCAGATTATGTCGGAATTAGAAATCCTTTATAAGGTATTCTTTTTATAACACTTACTTCTAATTATGTTTGTCTGTCGTCTTTATGCAGAGGATTTTTTGAATAGGCTTTTTTTTTCTTTTTACAGTGTGACTCATCTTATATCATAGGATTTTATGGCGCTTTTTTTGTAGAAAACAGAATTTCACTATGTACAGAATTCATGGATGGTGAGTTGAGTATTTTGTGTACTCTTAATTGTAAAAAAATAAAAATGTAATTGATAAAGCATTTAAAGATATATACTTCCAATGTATAGGAGAATATGATCATTTTAAAAAGGGTGTTAGAATTACCACTTTACATTAAATATTTCATTATACACAATATTTTCCTGATTGTAATTTCATTTACTTTTATTGAAAATTTAAATAGAACAGAAATAAATGCTAGTTTAATCTGTGTTTTGATATTTGATTCTTCCATGCAATCTGTCTTCACTGACAAAACAGCTGTTCTTTTCTTTTAATGTTTCAATAGCCAAAACAGATTTTCTTTTAAAGAAATCTATTAACCCAATGTCCTGTGTGTTTTCAGTGAAAATTGGTTCTTAATTGCAAGATAACGAATTATTTTCCAACACAGCTGTTTAGCTCTGCTGCACTCAGTTTCCTTGGGAGTGTACCCTTATTTTTTCCAGTATGAATCTCTTTCAGGCCTATAGTACTCCCTACCCTGTGATCTGGTTCCAGTGTCATTCTGGAGATTTATTAGCACTTTTATATTGAAATTTTGTGCTTTGAGATCCTTGGATAAAAGGCACTTTCAACAAGCAAAGTCATCTTATTAAAGCGATTTATAATCATTGCTATCCTCTGTCTATCAAGTCTGAGAGTCTCTCTTGCATGACAGATGCAGTCTTCTAGTGTCTGGCGCATGAAAACTCAAACATTTTCCAGCATTCTAGTCTTAGTTTTATGTTGTCATTACATTGCTGAAGCAATAATCCATGACACGCTACGAATTTCTCATGAGCCAGCATTTTCTGGCATAGCTAGGTATTTTACTAAGGTGCAGTTGAGTTGGATATGAAGAAATAGAGGTTTTACAAGTAATTTATAATATAAATAGTCATGCAAAGATGGCTCTCTCCTAGGAAGTTTACATAAAACAGATGTGTGTCAATGACCATTGTTGGCTACCTTCTTTTCTTTCTTCCACTGAGGATCGCAAATAAAGTCTTTCAGAGTTTTTTATATGTTTCTGCTCATTACAATAATCTGTTTTACAGTCTAGATATGATCGTTCTTTTTTCCTCTTCCCTTTGCTGTTCTGAAGTTCATTGCAACCCATTTACATAGATGAGTTGTGGCTAAGTTTTTATATACACACACACACACACACACACACACACACACACACACACACACACACACTCAACAAAACCCATATGTGAAGTTCATTGATGTTCTTGTACTATACAAATATTGCCCAATGGGTTTGATTTTCAATATTTGTGTTCTCATTAATGTACTCAGGGGTTGAGAACAGGCTGCTGGAAACTTGTGTACAAATTGGTATTTACATGTGCATGTCACATGGTGGGCATACCAAGTAGGGAAATATTTGGAAATGCAACAATGTGCATCTACTTACAGTCTGAAGATCAGGGTCTATAAGTGATCAGGCAAATTCAAATGCAATTAAAAAGTGACAGAAGTACCTATTTGTAAATGTTTGCAGTTCTGAATTCTTGTATAAGATGTGCATCTTTCATAATGTTGCACAACACTGGTATTTACTGACCATGCAAAAGTTACTTGGAATCATATTGGAAAAGAACTCTGGTCCATCTGATGGGTGTGCACTCCCTCTGGCAATGATCTGTAAACAATAATGTAAAGGAAGAACAAAACTCTCATAATGGGACCTTGTCAAAACTTGTGTTCAAAACTTTCTTATGGATGTGTAGGGCTGCAAGTGAAGATGGAAATGTTTACCTCCTAGCCCCTGCAAGTGAATAGCCCTTAAGCATGACACTTTTTAACCCCTAGTGACCATTTTTGACCAGCCTTCCTGTCTTGGAATAGTAGTTTATAAAGACGTGTGTGTATCCAGTCTCCTCTTTAAAAAAATCCCATTGAACTGTGTCTCAAAAGTGTCCTATGGCAGTGAATTCCACGGATGGCTGTGTGAATAAGTACTTCCTTTGTGGAATAGCTAATCACAGATGGAGCTCTAAGGTAACCTCAACACTTGGCATCTGTATGTTTGGGGATACTTATGTATTAAGGAGATGCAGAATAAAAACACACACACCGTAGTATTGGTTCTCCTCTGATGGACTTGAAAGCAAAGAAAACTACATGAATCATGGTCTACAAATACTGAAGTGCAGAGGTTGAACTGCTTGACCTGGCTCATCCTGGCACCTGCCAATTGATCTTCAAGATCAATGGGAACATAAAACGAGGCTTATTTGCCTTTTCACTTTTACATCTGTAATAAACATGCTATTTTACTAAATAAAGATAGTGAAATACATTGTTGGATTGTTTTTATTATCTCTCTCTTCTCTTTGGAAGTGCAGAGTACCCACAAATTCCATTGAAGTTGATGGAAGCTGCAAGTTCTCAGCACCTTTAAAGATCAGGCCATGTTTGTTTAGGTGCCTACATGTGGCTTTAGAAGCCTAACTTTAGGCTCCCAGTTTTGAACATTGACCACAATTTTTGTTGACTGTGTGCTTTGCACAACAAAAATGTTTGGGTATTCTGAGATCAGTGTTTTTTGATTTCTTCCACTCCACTGTCTATAGTCAAACTGTTCACTTTTTAAGTACAAGACTTGGCTGCTGATGTGTGAGAACAGACAATTTTTTTGTAGCGGTAAATGTACACTGCTCATAGCGTGCCCAAATAGCAAGTGTGAAAAATCGGGACAGAGGTGTGTGTGCGTGTGTGGGTGGGGGGGGGGGTAATAGGACCCTATATAAGAAAAAGCCCCAAATATCGGGACTGTCCCTATAAAATTGGGACATCTGGTCACCCTAACTGCTCAGTAGTCTCATGAACATGAATAAGAATAACCTGAGCCTGTGAGCGCCTTCCCTTTATGTGATGAGTGCTCTGAGCCTGATGAGTCATTTGAGATAATTACCTGTGAGATCTCAGCCAATCCACAAGCAAGGGTCTAACCAAGGCAGGTATACAGGTTCCTAATGAAAGCAGCCACTCCGGTTTGCTCAATGTCGACACCCTGTTGGGGATGCTCGCTGCTACCTGGTAGTTCTGACAGACTGCTCCTTCCCCTGCTCCAGCTCAAGCCACGGCAGGTCACCTGGCTGTCCTGACACTTGACCTTCTATGGTGTTGAATAGACACGTGAGGCTGTGCTACCTTTCATCACACTGTGCAAGAGCCCAACTAAATTCACTTTAAAAATTTAAGTCCAGTCTAATGCCTTGAATATAAGCACTCTACATTTAAAAACAAAATTTAACACACAAATAAAAGGTTTAAGAGCGGCAGCCGTGTTAGTCTGTATCAGCAAAAAGAACGAGGAGTACTTGTGGCACCTTAGAGACTAACACATTTATTTGACCATAAGCTTTCGTGGGCTAAAACACAAATAAAAACAATTTTAAGAAAACAATGTTATGGCTGTGTCGGTCCCAGGATATTAGAGAGACGAGGTGGGTAAGGTAATATCTTTTGTTGGGCCAACTTCTGTTGGTGAGAGAGACAAGCTTTCGAGCTTGTACACTCTGTGGAATTCAAGATATTACCTCACCCACCTTATCTCCTTAAGGAAATGAGATAGAACAGTTAGTAGAGACCTGCACAAATACTGTATTTCCAACAATGGAGAACGTGAAGAAAACGGAGCAGCTCTTTAGAGTAACGATTACTCACACGACTAACAGTTGCAGAATGGAACAAGAGTCCAGAATGGATTAAGAATCCTGTGATTGTTCTCTGGACTCCTGCATTACAGAATGTCTTTTATGATTTTTAATTGAACCATAAACAAGGGCAAAGGGTGGGATTTTCAAAATTTCGCAGTGTTGGCCTAGCTTTGCTCAAGCTGGAGTCTTTGGTAAAACCACATTGATTTTGATGGGAGCAGCACCTAGCAAATCTGAAAATCCCTCTTTGCATCTGTTTTATGCTTTGATTTACACCCTCACAAGCCAGGAAATCAGAGCTGGCTCACCCTAGATGATGTTCATCTATTTTACATCCTCAATTTTAAATTTGTTTTCCTGAACGAACTTTAAAATTTTTAAATGGGTTTTTTCATCAATTGGGCATGAATTTCCAGAATAAATAATCTAATAAAAGGTAGGCCAGTGGAAACTGTGCTTCCCAGTCTTCTGGGGATGCCTGGCATCCCATTAGGAACCAGGGTTCCCCATCTTCTCCACATACAGTGGCTGGCCATACTGAGTTGTGGGCAGGTAGTAAATAAAGGAATATACTAGCAGAAGCTTTCTCTGTGTGCCTAGAAGCTCTTTCTGTTACATCTCCAGACAACCCTTCGTTCAGGGTTGTGACTTTGAGGTGCAGTCAATCCTTACGTGTTTGATCTGCAGGGGCAGTTTGATTTCAGGGGCACGTTCCACTGTGCTAGATACCAATAGTTGTTGATGGCATCAGTTGTACATGGCTTTTTATGACCAGGTGTTAGTGATGATTTTGACTTTGTAATCTGTTGTAATTCTTCTGAAGTCTTTATATTACTAAGGCCTGGTCTACACTAACCCCCCAAGTCGAACTAAGGTTCACGTAGCTGAAGTCGACATACCTTAGTTCGAACTTACTGCGGTTCAGACGCGGTCCACACGCGGCAGGCAGGCTCCCCGTCGACTCCGCGGTACTCCTCTCGCCGAGCTGGAGTACCGCAGTCAACGGCGAGCACTTCCTGGTTCGACTTATCGCGTCCAGACCAGACGCGATAAGTCGAACCCAGAACTTCGATCCCCAGCCGCCGAACTAGCTGCTGGGTGTAGACCAGCCCTAAGAAGTAAATTAAGGTGCGCCAAACCTTGTTCACTTCTCTAGAATAAAGTCTGTTTTTTGCTTTCTGTCCTGCGATATGGATGCATTCTGAAAAGATGTTAGTAATAGCTTTGCAAACGTGGGAAGAAAAGAGATGTTGAGAGCTCTGTCTCCTATGGTTGTTCAGAGAGTGAATGTTATTTAAGGTCGGTTACTTCTGACACTATTACTGTTATGTTGTTTATGGCATTTTTATTAATAACCAAAGGGCTAGAAAACCTTTAAATCTAAGGTAGTATTTGATTTTATATTAACTAATCACACTTTGTCTGTCTGTCCCTACAGGCGGTTCTTTGGATGTTTATAGAAAAATTCCAGAGCACGTACTAGGAAGAATAGCAGTAGCTGTAAGTATTTTTGTCTTTGATGGTTGTGTCATATACGTATCCAGTCTTAGATTTGATTGTATCAGGTGTCCTCTCATTGTCGAAGTTCCCATCCTTTCTGTGCACTTACGGCCTTGATAAGCAGCCGGAAGACCATGAAAGACCGTGAAAATGGGTCCCCGTGAAAATGGGACCATATTGACATATTATGGTGGCTGCTCTTGTGCTTCTGCTGAACTGCTGCTGACTGACTCACTCGTGTGTTTCAGCTCTTCTGGTCCTCTCTATGCACAAAGGCAGGTGAATCATTTAGATCTGCTCCTCGGGCCAAGAAGTTGTGACTAAACCTGATGGGAACAAACAAAGGCTTGCTGTGTTCTGCTGCATACACCTGTTCTCAAGGTGCAGTGGCATTGTACGTTGAACCGCTTGTACAGTAGAGTTTTTCCCCCACTGTTGATCTACTTCCTGAAGCAGGAGACTGAAGTTGCTCTCCTGGAAGAGCAAGTCCAAGCAAAACATGCCTATGGGGTATGTTTATTCCCAACCCATTTCTGTGATCCTTCACACAAGTCATCTCTAGTAGGGGTGATTTAGCTCTAAACCCAAGGGAGTGGGGAACCAAACCCTGTCCTAGGTAGGGATATAAGCCCCAACCTCCCTTCAGTTTGGTGGCAGAATTTTGACAGGGGGCTCCTGAGAGCCCCCTCTAGCACATCAGTGTGTCTCAGCGGCATCTGAGGGCTTCATCATGATAGTGAGTACAAGTGCATTGTTCCCTTGATTTTGGTAATGGTGTTTGCAAAATATGGAGTGACTTTTCTATTCTATAATCTGCTTTCAAAGCCTGAACCGAGGCTAATTGAACAACATCTTAGCGAACATCATGGGGGTGAGGGATACTGCTAAACAATTGCTAAATCTAAGAAATACTTTGATAACTTAAGCAGTTTAAAGCATAACAAAGTTATTCTATCATGTGCCATTTAATTAAGTGCTGGGTTTTCACATTCATTATACATCAAGCTGATAATTTAAATCCTTTAATCCAACACAGGCAGCTATTTAGTCTCTGTTCATTGTAATTCACAGCTCTACTTTCTCTCTGTTCTCTGCCCAGAATAATGAACATCCTTTTCCGATGACATTTTGTCTAAGTAGCTTCACATCTGCTCATTGTTCAGCCTGACCTCTTACCAAATCTGTTGCTGGCAAACACTCCCTGCTACTCACCTCAGATGGTTGACACCTGATGTGTGTTGATCCTACATCTGCCTGCACGGTGGTCACTGCATGGACTGGTAGTGGGATAGGAGGTGGACAAATGAGCAGGCAGATTCAAAGAAGCAGCTTGATCACATTTCCTCACTCGTAAGCCACAACAGGCACATCCAGCAGTGAGGATGGAGTTTGGAAGCTATCTTCTGCCCCCTTGCTAGTTCTCTGCACTTGCTTGAGAACAGTCAGAGAGAGAGAAACAAAGGCCCTTGCATGTCGAGTGTAACAGGGCGGACTCACCCCTGCGGCGCCTCCTGCTGGTCATCCATGGGAATTAGCTCTCCAGCCATTGGAGCGCCCTCTGCAGGCCGGTGTCCTGCTACCGCTTGGCCCCCGTGTCCCTCCCGGACCCGGTGCCCTGTTATCTGGGGCGCTGCCCCCTGGTAGTAACCCCTCAGTCTTAGTGTCTCCCCTCCCCGGGGAACCCCCACCCACTAAGCCCACCTCGCCTCAGTATATGGCTACTGCCAGTCATCGTCTAGTCCCCACGCCCTGGGGCAGACTGCAGTATCAGCCACTCATCACAGGCAAGGTTGGGTTTGGACCTGCTGCCTTTGCCTACCCCTGGGCTGCCCTCTGCAACCCCCAGTACCCCTGGGCCTTCTGCTAGGCCACAGCCTGGGGCTTTCCAGGCTGAAGCTCCCCAGCTCCTCTGCCTTTCCCCAGTCCTCCTCTGCTCAGGTACCCTGTCTCTAGCTCCCTGCAGCCAGGCCTGTCTCCCTCTGAACGCAGAGAGAGACTGTCTGCTTGAGCTCCTGGCTCAAGCCTTTATAGGGCCAGCTGGGCCCTGATTGGGGCATGGCCCCACCTGAGCCTGCTTCCTCCCAATCAGCCCAGGCCTCTTGCCCTTCCACAGCCCTCCTCCAGGGCTGTTTTAAACCCCTCAGGGCAGGAGTGGGTAACCACCCCGCTACAGCGAGTAACTTCTCTGCAGCAGCAGTGTATCCTGCAAGTGCCCCTGGTGCTGCTTGTTGTGTATTATTTGAATTACAGTAGCACCTCGAGTCCCAGGCATGGGACAGGGCCCCATTGTACAGTCACTGAATAAGCGCACGCGCACACACACAGGCACACTATCCTTGTTGTTGTCCAAAGGTCCCAGGGATTGCTAGCCTGGTATTTACACCCCTGTCCATGTAATGAGAGGGAAATGGAAAAGCAAAGGCTAGAGATTGGGACAGGACAATACACAAATGTCCCAAGTTTATATATTTTACTTAGACAAAACCTAAGACTCCTGTACTGAGAGAAGCATGAGCTTTTTTTTGAATCAATAAATCTTCTTTCCATCTTCCATGCACTATATGCACACGGCTGTTTATCCTTTATAGTCCTGAGAGCTGTACAACTTCAGTAGGCTGTAGAGTCTGCAAAAAATGTGCATGATGTGCACTTCAGTTAATTAAAAGCTTTTTCAAAATTAGTCAATGATTCCTCCTAAGTACAACCTTTCCAGGAGCACCCAATACAGTAAGTAGATCTTTACTGCGTCAATCAAGACTAAGGCCTGGTTTACCCTAGAAAATTAGGTTGGTTTAACTACATCGGTCAGGGGTATGAAAAATCCACTCCCAGGAGTGGTGTAGTTAAGCTGACTTAAGTCTCCAGGTAGACCGAGCTGGGTCAATGGAACGATTCTTCCATTGATGTAGCTACTGCCTCTTGGGGAGGTGGATTACCTCTGCCGATGGGAAAATCCCTCCCGTCAGCATAGGTTGTGTCTACACTGAAGCACTGCAGTGGCGTGGCTGTGTCGCTGTAGCATTTTAAGCATAGACAAGCCTTGAGTCTTGGGTTTTGCTATACCAGTCCTGCCATGATGGGACATGCATTTATTCTTTTAAAAAAATGTTGAGTGAATTTAGTGTCCAGGAAAGGTGCCAGACAGACAGCCCTGGAAACTAATGCCTTATATACACCATACACCTGGAAATAACTCCAGCTAGTCTAGGACACGATAGCCTGTCTGCTAAGCAACACCATTAGAAAAGAATATGTTACCCCTGTGCTCTGCTCGCTCCATTGAACAGTGAATCACGTTCAAGTGCATGTCTTAATCTACTGAGCTACTTATGGGATTGTCTCTTGGCAACCAGGACCTTCCATGGTACCTGTGCTCCAAGGGTCAAAGGTGCTATCCACAGCCAGAGTAAGAAAGGAAGGGATAGGACCTTATTTTCTTCTAAGGGTCACAGATATCACAGTGATTTACTTGGTAGAAATACTTAGTAGGTATCCATAAAAGACGTGCATTAAGGTAGCAACTGTGTAGTCTTACACATCCTGTCTCCTTCCAATGTGACTAATCCCCGACTTGGCATGATCATCTCTACTGTTGAGAGAATAGTCTGCTGAGACTGCCAGGTATTACCAGTTGAGGCCAGTTGCAGTGGTACCTTTTCTGGTGTGGACACTTGTTCACTGGGAAGTAGACTGGGCACCAAACCCTTGCACTTATATACAGATTAAGTAAAGATATTATTGGCACTGTTCTGTATAGCATCTACAGTTGTTTTTCTTTGTTACTCCTGCCCAACCATCCAAACATCATGTTACACTGTTCAGGGAGAAGTGAGACGCATGAGGCTTCTTTGATTCAAGTTGATCCTGCAAGAGTCCATTATCAAGTCCATTCTTTCCTAGAGAAGTTCTGCCTTGTCAAATACTGAGCTTTTTCCCCCCCAGTATTAGTTATTTACCATGGATGTAATAAGATACAATAAGGATGAGAGAGTGGTAGAGAAGGGGCAGGGTAGTGGGAGGAATCTGAATAAAGCCTCAACGAAAGAGAGCTGTCTCATAGAGAAGACAGATGGTGTTTAGTCAAAGGAAAGCAGTGAGAGAGAATGGAGGAAGCTGCCAGAAGTGAGCCTCGGGAGGAGAGAGCTGTCTCTGATTCCATCACAAAATTCTGGATCATTCTGCCCAACGCAGCCTTGATGAGAAGGGGAACCTTTTTCTGTTTACTGTATTATTCACTTTATTCAGTGAATGGCTAGTGGTTTTTCCATGGGAAAAGGAAAAGGAAAATTTGAGAACCCTGAAAGAGGCAGGCTGTACTCCATCTTGCTAAACAATTTTCTACTACAGTGTGTATGCTTTCAGGCATCTCTATGGCTGATACTATTCTACCTTTGCTTGCCACTTCACACATTTATTTCCACCTCCATTTCTGAATTAGTGACATTGTGCACTGTATTTTTAGTGCTAATGTTGATTGAAGTTCTCCCTGAACGGATGTGCACTTGAACTGTCAAGAGAGTGAGTGATTGACAGCAGGTAGAAGTACTTTTTGTGTCAAGGCTTTGTCAAGTCATTGTTGCAAAACCTACTTTACTGAATGCCAATAATACCTCCTAGATGTTCAATCAAAAGATACTCTATGCTGGCATCTTTTTAGAATAATGCTTAATACCAAAATGTCCATCCTTAATAGGAAAATGGCATCTCTTTAATGTGTGCTTTAGTGTTTCAGTGAATGACCAATAATTTATGCTCATTTTCTTTATTCTGTAGCTTTAAAATATAGCTTACATTAAAAAAACTCCTTGAATTTTCATGTACTCTGTTGCACAGATAATCTGAATGCGATAGTTGGTTTAATAGCAAGCTTTTTATAACCACTTATGTGGTGTGTGTGTGCCTTAATAAAGAGATGTATAATAACTCTCAACTGTTGATTTTTTTCCCTAGCAAATGTTTGCTTTCTTCCTGTACATGATAAATGTTCAAAATTCATTACAGAACTTGTTTAAAATATTTTTAAACATTTTAAATGGTCTGAATATATGTTTAATGAAGAGAATAGCTTACTGTATCCAAAACTATATTTGTTGGGGAAGTGGGAGAATGACTGAAATACCATTCCTTATTTTTTAGTATTGCTATAATTCTGGCAATTTTTGAAACAATGTGTAAATAGAATTCTACTGTTTTGCTTTTTGAAAGGCTAAAGTGAACAAGGCCACACTGAGGGGGATATATGGACTATGATTAAGGCTCTTTGTGATGGGTAATTACCATCTGAGGCCACGAGGCACTTGGAACTAGGGATGCAAGTTTAGCACTCTGAAGGTGCCATCTAGAGCAATTTAGTAGGGATCCAAAATCATTATTCAATATACAAAAGAGGCTCAGGTTCCACTTGCATTATTTTGCTTACTGAATGAATGAGATTTCAGAACAATCTTCTAATCCAATAGGAAGACTGAAAATTAATATAATCTTATGCCTTTACATGCCATGTAACAATTTTGACTTTTGTAAAGTTTGAGTCATTCACTTTAACAGAAACAATTTAATTTTATTTCAACCTCCTTAATGGCATTTAAGAATTTTCATTGTTCTGCATGAAGAACTCTTGTCACTTTCCAATCCATCTAAAATGGCCTGTTGTTCAGGAAAGTACTGGACAAAAAGACTTACCTCAGTCAGGAAAATGAGTGGAAAGTCAGTATAGACAGCAAATTTTGTAGGAAAAATTTTGCAATAAAAATAATTGGCTGACACAGCAGAAATGTTCTGGAGAAGAAAAGTGTGCAAAAATAGAATCAGGTTTATTAGATCATCTTATAGATCTCGGGCTGCTGGAAAAAGCAGATCAGGAAAAAACCTTGGTGGTGGCAGAAGGCAAGAAGTTACATTATTTGGGGGGGTTTAATTACTTTGTTATTTATTGGGATAGTTTTACAAAATCTAGGGAGAAGAGCCTATTTCTAAGTAACCTGTAGTACAGGATTGTGTTCTGTGCAGTTGATTGAACAGCCTGTATAGTCCTGGACTATTCTGAATGTAATCCTAGGAGAGAAATAAAGAGGATGGAAAATAAATGGTAATGCTTGGTGCATCTCAGATCTAATGGTTATCTTGCTGCTACATTTGAAATAAACACATGTAAATATTCCATGTATGGAAGCATCCTGAGGTGTCAGTTTGAGAAATGTAGACTTAATGTATGCACAGTGCCCTCTGGAATGTTGATTGAAACTCATGTCAGATCTCAGAAAATGTGTCAGGAGACCTGAATTGAAAAACTAGGTGGGTGGGAGTTGCTTCAAGTCAACCAAAAGGTTTTGAGTTGGCTCGGGGTTTTTTATTTTTTTTGAGTTTTCTGATTTGACAAAAATATTGAAAAAATGTGTTTGGGTTCAAATCAAACTCAGCTCTACTCACCACCTTGCAAGACTGAAGCCCTTGCACAGGGTCTTCCACAGCAGGTTTTCATCTCGAGAGGATTTGATTCTAATTTCTAAAACTGATATGAAGTTTATATTATAGACCCTCAACACTGTAGAATGTTAATGGCATGTGCCAACAACTTTAATTTAAAAAGAAAGACAAAGCAAGGCTACTTACTCTACCACCATTTTTATGCCATTTACATATAGGTTTTTGCTCAGTAAACTTTAACCAATGCCATGCTATAGGAGTGGGGACAAATGAACAGAAAATAAGCCTATTTGTTGATGATGTATTGTTAATAGTTTGAATCACCGATATCTCTCCTTAAAATAACTGGAGCAACTTTGGAAATGCATAGGCCTGAAAATGGCATTTTTACAGTAAAAAATGCTGGATATTACTTTAAGAGAAAGAGAGAGATAATTGGCCTAACAGGAATACTATTTCAAGTGGGTTAAATCCACAGTCAGGGCATGCATTCAGTCCTCTGCTTAGAATAGTTGTATGAAGAAAATGTCCATCCTATTACTTTAAAACAAACAAACAGAACTTGATTTAAAGGATTGGGGGGAAATCTACATTTGCTATTTGGGCCAAATTTGGCCCCTAAATATATTCTCTGAAGACTAAGCTGTCTATTTTAGACATTACTCATACTTATTTCAGCTAAAACTGTAATGAACTCCTTCATGTGAAATTAATAACACTCAGGAATTAATGAAAGTATTCTTAATAAACCAAGAGATAAAGTTGGACTTGATCTTCAGGGTGACTACTGGACAATGCAGCTAAGACAACCAGCAAAACATGCGGTAAACTGGAATAGACCTATTTTTCAATCTTGCTTCTTGCAATTGCAACCCAAATCCTTAAGAATAAAATCCAACTGAAATGCGTATAGTTCCCGATTAGAAATTTTTATTATGTATTGTTTCTCTTGTATGCAGGTTGTTAAAGGCCTTACCTATTTATGGAGTTTAAAGATTTTACACAGAGGTGAGTGACAGCTTTGTTCTTTTGTTTTCTAAGTGACTATCCCACTTTCTGGTTCAGCGCAGCTTTTTACAAAGACGGTGGGCCACACTAAGCCCTGTGATGCTGCTGACATCAGTGGAGTTATGCCAGGGATTAATTTACTCGATAGCCTTTCACATTCTCTGGTTATGGATTTTTATTGTCTGCCTCTTTTCTCTGTTTCTCCCCCATCCAAACAAAAAACTAGACAGACAGAACCAGATTTTTCCAAAGTATTTAGGTGCCTAAAGATGCAGATAGATGCCTAGTGGGATTTTCAGAAGTGCCTAAGCAAGTTAGGCGCCTAACTCCCATTGAATTCAATAGGATTTGGATGCCTAACCTAAATAGGCACTTTTAATACTCTGACTAGGTACTCATCTGCATCTTTAGGCACATAAATATTTGGCTCATTACCCCTACACTACTATTTTGAAGGACAAAGAAGTGAAACTTTTTAAATCTACGTAAGCAAAGTTGAAACCATTCTCAGTATAAAGTCCTATCCTCATTCCTCAAGTTAATTTTTTGACTTCTCTTAAATTTTCACCTATTTGTGACTTCTAGATTTTCTTAGTAATATAATTATTATGGCTAAATTGATCCATATGTACCAGCTCTTTCAAAAACAGAGCATCACTTGCCAAACTATGGCAGATGCTGAGGATATACCGGTTCGAGAACAAGGAAAGGGTTAAGTAAGTATTTTGGCAAACAAGAAGAAAACTCTTTGCATTTATAATGGTACCAAAGTGTCTGAAAGTAACAGCTACAGATCTTAATGTTGCTAACAATACTGCTTAATTTAACCCATCTGCTCACTCAGTCCTGGTGCACAGTTGGAGGGTACAGTAGCAGACATTATTTGTGATTAAAAGGAGGATAAGAGAAAGTATCAACTCGAGGAGAAATGAGTAGTCTAAATTCAGAGTTTCTGCTTTAAACAGGAACTTTGAATTCACATTGTAAACTCTTTTGGGCATGTTGATATGTTTGTATGTGCCTAGCAAATGGAACCCTGGCTTCTAGTGCAATAGAAATAATAATAAAATTCCAGCCCGGTTCTTAGAATTTATGAATTTTCAGATCTTCTTATTGTTAATCAGATTTGCAATCCTAACTTCTCAGTTAATGTTTTTTCTGTGCTATACCTGCAAAAGGGTGCTGCTTTATCAGTGACATTTGTGTGTGAGAGGATGTTAATAGCGTGCTGTTGGGAGAACAGAGGAATATGTATTTTAGTAGCTACAGGTGGAAAAGTACCTTTGAATACTAAGAGAGAGGTCGGGATTTTCAAAGGAGCCGAAGGGTGTTGGGCACCTAACTCCCTTAGGCTCCTTTGAAAATCCTGCTATTAATTTGTAAGAGCTACCATTCACATTGGCCATTTTATAATTTTCTTGTCCTCTTCCTGGAGGAAATGAGGCTTTCATTGTGATGTTTACATTTGATAAAATTTACTAAGGATGGTTTAGCTCTGGATAGTTATTTACAAATGTTACCCTTCATTCTGAGTTTCCTCAAAAGCATGGAATTAACAGTTTATCTTCCTTCAAGAGCAAAGGGTGAATGGAACAGATGCAAAAGCTGCTCTGTACAAATGAAAAACTCTATATCATGTTCCCAATGTACAAAACAATGCCAGTTCACTTACATTAGAACCGTTCCCATAATGGCCAATTCATGAAGTTAGTGTGAGAAGCCATTGCTTAGCCTCTTCACTGGTGAAATAGAGCAAAATATTATTTTAAACACTCATTTTAAAATGAGTTGTCTGCCTAATGAATTGCGGGTGGTCTTTCAGATAACCAATAATATTGATAGTCAAGCGCAGACATTGTAAATGTAATATTTTATGCCTTTCTATTGCTTTGAGTTTAGAAGCTAAATCCGATTTTTTTCCTGCCCGGTTAACTGTGACTTCTCCAACATCATTTTCCATAACTTTCATTGGCTTGATTAAAAGGCGTACTGAATATTGATTACGCCTTGAGAGGTTACTTGGGATGGAAAGTGCCTTGGTGCTTTCTGGAATGCATGAGGCTACATCTGGTCCAAAGAGAGAGAAACAAACTCATCCTTCTTCTCACTTCAGATTTTGCTGGGCTTGATCTGTTCCTGGTTTGCTCAAACTGAAAATATATATACATAAGCTATAAAACATCAGATGGGACGCTAAGTAACATGACAGGGTCCAGCGGTGTTCCCTCAAGGGACTTTGGTTGTAAATAAACACGTACGGGAATGTGGGTGTACATGCGCCCACATCCTATATCTGTGTAGATGGATACAGAGCAATGAAGTGCAAATCAGAATACATATTTATTTCTCATTAGTCATGAGTAGCTATATATAGGATTGAATGCATTAGGCAAATGGAAGAAAATTTAACCTTGACTTTTTTGCTATCGTGCGTAAAATGTATCGCATAGAAGGCTCTTATGGACTAAGGAGTCAAAAAATTCCCCAGTGGTGATAATCAAGGTGGAGAAGTGGTCCTCATGAAAAAAGATGTATAATACAGTGCAGCAAACATGGCAATTTCTGACTAGAGGATGGATAAAAGCAAAGGAAACAAATAATGAGCAAGTCTTTTATTCCAGATCAGACATTTCAGCAAATATTTCAGCTTAACTTCAAAACATACCTTGTGGTTAATGAGCTGGTAGTTGTGCATATTAATAAACCTAAAGCTGTAGTCATAGTCGTTATTACCCACATCAAACATAAACAAAAGATTAACACCTATACCACTTCTTTGGAAGATGTGAGAATGGCCCAATGCTAACTGCTCTCTCTTCCCCTCAGGATAAAGAATAGAAATGGAAGGGTAATGAGAAATGAACTTAGATTTAACACAGAATTAGCAATCAAACTGGTCTAATTTTGCACAAAGTCAAAGTTTGCAGAAAGAGGAAGCCAAGTCCATTAAGTTCAAGAATAAAGTACAGAGAGTATACATTATATCCAAATGGTATTTCTTCTTTTCTTTGGTAAAGCATGCTCATTAAGGAGAAGTGCACACAATAAAATATTACATGAGTATATTTTGTGTATATACATTTCATGCATGTGTTTGTATCTATACAAACAACATACATGTCTGATTGCTATATCCCTTCTACTGTTGTATTATGATGTTATCTAGAAGGTGAGCAAGACCTTCCAATTTGAGCACTCATTCCAAATCCTTAATCTGGATACATTAGATAAAATTTTCAGCGGTGCCTAAGTGACTTAGCCACTTTTGAAAATGGGTCTTAAGTCCATTTGAAAATCTTACTCAGAATGCTGTAGTGGTAAAAAGAGGAGACCAGGAATTAGGATTCCTGGTTTTGGTTTCTGATTCTCCTACTGACTAAGAGTGAGTGTGGACAAGTTTCTTAACTTGCTTGTGCCACAGTAGATACAGTGGGCATAATATGTATTTTACCGGGATAAAGTTTAATTAATTTGTCATTTCAAAGCCTTGAGCTTATTGGGTGAAAGGCTCTGTATAAATGCTAAGGCTGTCGGTGATGATACACTACGCTGCTTTATACCTGTTGCCACAAGACTTTGGAGTAAAACACAAAACCCATCCTGGGTGTGAAATTTATTGAAGTGATGGAAACTTGCACTGAATTCTCCTTGTTCTTTTGTGGAATGGTACAATGGCTGCAGCAGATAACTGAGACTTCTTTATGCATCTGTTGTCTGATGACATCTGCTTGCCAACAAGCACTATTTCCTAATTGCTCTCCCCCCCCCCCCACCTCCGCCCCGCGGCCTCTGCTGGTTTTGAGCCTTTGCAGAAGAAGATCCTTTAGGATACATCAAGTTTGCTAGGCCCAGTGGCCTTTTGTCACCCATGTTTAGCTCCACCTACCAGAGGTGACATTTGATCAGGAACTTCATTGCTCTGTGCACACAATTGCTCAGATCTACAAGTGAGCCTTTTTGCAGTTTCCAGAGGAGCAGTGTTGTAGAACTTTCATAAGTTGAATTCTGCCGGTTACATCTCATGGTGCAACGTTTTAGCAAATAGCACACGTGTAAATGAATTGGGCAGTAAAATCTAACTTTACAAGTTTAGATCTGAACTCAATCTTCCACTTTCTGGGTATATGAGCCTAGAGTGACTGCGTGTGCGTGTGTACCAAGTCTCCAGGGGCAAGGTGTATCTTGACTCCAGAGCTCACCCTTTCCAGGCGATATGTACAGTTATTCGTAACAAGTATTAAAATAAATATGTGTTCAGTTACTTACCTACATTTGTAAACTGAATAACACCAAACCCTAAATGCTGGTCGCCAGTGCCAGTCACTAGTGCAATAGCACTAATAATATGCATAATGACAGATTACATCGTCCAGCAGTTACATGAATTTTGGCTCGACATTGCCAAAGAAATGAGCAAGACTTGTAGAATAGAGGCTACTACCTAGTTTAGGATCATGTGCGCATTGGATCATGTGCGTTTTTTTGTTTTTGTTGTTTTTTTTTGCTAGCTTAGATAAATTAAATGGCTCTATCACCGTGTACACCGATGTCTAACAGATATATCAAGTATAAATATGCACTCTCACATGCCACACAAGTCTCTCCCCGATCTGCTCCTGGGGCAGCGTAACTACGCATTGTCCCTTGTTGTGGGTTCATGGCACATCTACAGTCAAGCCCTTAGTAAAAATTTTATTGAAGAAGAATGTAGCTGCATGGATGCCATTCTAAATATAGTATCTCCCTCACACTGTGGGACAGGTGTTTCTCAGAGAGAGCTGCTGTGTTCTTCCTCCTTCCCAGGTATAAACCTAATGCCTGGAAGAGGCTCCTATAATTCAGAGTAGAGAACGGCAGCGTTTTTAGGTGCCTTGCAAAACAGCTAGATGCTGTGAATGCAGCAAGGGTGGGGAAAGCCGCTGACTTCCTTCTCCTGACTAAGCTGAAGTTCAATCTAAGAGCCAAAGCCTAGTCCTGTTGAAATCAATGGGAACTTTGCCAGTGATACTGGAGGGACTAAAGGGTTGGCTCTCTGTGTATAAAATACATGAATGTTGCCATTGTTAAACCACTGTTGTATTACAGATCCAATCATTGTACTGCATTTGGTAAAAATATGCGGGTAGATTGAGACTCTAATAGCCTGAGAGCCTCCAGAACTCTGGGATCCTCATGTAATCATGTGGACCACACTTTCCCCAGCATGACTCTTACCTATGTCACACATCCTCCCAGCTGCCGCCCTCTGACCCTTCTCTCAGGTTGTATTGTGCAGGTGTCAGATATGAGGAAAGTGGGGAGAGGAGTATTGTGAACGTAAGGTGCATCAGTAGCAGGTGGCTGGCTGGCCACTTACAATCATCTGTACACCATGTTGCTCACAGACTCTGAACTAGGGACCTCTCCCAAGAATTCAGTCTGACCTTGTCAAGCTAGTTACTGTGCTTGTTTGATTGTTAATTATCCTTTTTTTAAATATCGACAAGTGTTTTGGAGCCATTGGCTTTGCTCTGCAATTAGATGTAGGGACTTCATGTTTCACTGCAATCTTCCTTTAAATGCATTCCTGCTGTAAACAGATTAATTTGTAATGCAAAATGTCAGCATATTTTGCATATTTAATTGTACCTGCTGTTTAGCTCATTAGAATGCAATGCAGACGTAATAACTAGGTAGATGTATCTGCTGACATATTTTCAGAAGACAATTAAACATAATGAATAGGATTATTGTGCAGCCTATGGCTGCTGTACTGTTCTTCTTAGACATTCATAATGGAGACATGCTGGTGACGCTCCAGGTCTAGTTAAATTGAGAGTGGTCACCCAGCAGTAGAGAGTTGTATACAGTTTAATAGATTGCTACAAAGAGACAATACTGGAGTCTTCCCAGAATTTGTATTAGAAAATAATGTATTTTAAAATGTTGGTTGAAAGAGCACTGAGGTTCTTCCGACTGCATGGATAGTTTTAAATCAGTATTTTGCCTCACCTACTGGTGAGGTCGGTGAGAAATCATTAAGAGTGTCAGAGGAAAACTGAATCTATACAGTTGAAATAAGGGTTATGTGAAATAGGCACTGTGTCCTTGAAGCTGTGACATGATGGAGATACATGATGGTGATTTTGTATTTTGGGTATCGGGGAGAGAGATTACAAATACACTAATTTTATTAATATGATCTTGAAGCATGGAGAACATTATCAAATTATTTATGGTGCCCACCCTTTAAAAAAAATAGCTTTCTTTTTGCCCCAAACATCAGAGCATTTAATCAGCTTGTTAATTGAAGTTATATACTTACATTACAAAGACAAATTAAGCAAGCTACTGTGATACCCGGAAAACATCTGCTAAACAAAGCCAAAGTTAATGATAAACAAAATTAGGTTCTCTCTTAGTTGGTTTTCATCCATCTGCACCCAACTACTGTTCACTTTTAAAGAAGGCAAAGACGCAAGCTATTACTTTCAATTCATAATGCCATGAGAAAGCAGTCATTACACACATCCACCATACTTTAATCTGTGCAAGTTTTTGGTCAGAGCTGTATCAAGCCGTTTATCATGTATTCTGGCCAGCATCCCTGGAATGGAAAGATCTGCACTACATTTGATCAGTTACAGGAAACAATTAGAAGTCTATCTACTGGTAGAATGTACAGTATGCAACATAATCTTACCACTTCTATTTCGTGTCACAGAGTGTCAACTTTATAATCTCTGCACTGAGGGGGGCTTATTTTATGATGTTCATTGGTGTATTTATTTGTTAGAGTGGGATTAGCAGTCCATTTTGATAGGATTGTGGCAGTTCATTTATGTGACAGCACTGAGATCATGGGAGGAGTGCACCAGTCCTGTAATAGGAGCCATGCGGGTAGAGCCACGCTGACTTCAACAGGGCTCTGTGCAGGCACATAGATCCACCTTGTTTGGATCTGGCTGCAGAATTGGGGCTAGATTCTGCGAGAGTCTTTGATGTGTGTATATTTATGTTTGTGTGTATGTGTATGCCAGCATTTTGTGTGTGTGGGGTGTGTATATAATATGTATGTGTATGCAATAATAATAGAGTGTGTGTATGTAATAATTTTTTTTTAAATCTTGTTACTACTACTTGAAATCCAAGCAGTTGAAGAGAGACGATTACAAGAAGATCAATATAGGGTTTATAAGAGGGTTAGACTAAATTATTGGAATCCAACCTCGGTGAGGAAGTAGTGCAATGCTAGAGTGTTACAGATCAGAGAGAGTGAATTTAAAATGTCTCCTATTAAAAACCTGATATGACTAGATGCATATATATCTTTATATCAAAATTGCATACAGAGAATAATTTATTTGAAAGCCCTCTTTTGTCCCTCTTTGACAGATGTGAAACCCTCTAATATGTTGGTGAACACACGAGGACAGGTGAAGCTGTGCGACTTTGGGGTTAGCACACAGGTATCCCCTCCCTTAGCTATTTGCCTACTCTTTTTTCTAAAATAGAAATCACCTGGCTACAAGACAAACAGGCCCGCAGCAAACTCTCCTCTGCTGGGAGAGTGTTATTCATTTGTAATCTCCAAGCGACTTTCCTTCATCAGAATATGATTGTTCATTGTTTAATGACAGTAAAAACTGCTGATATTGTAATTACTACTTACGAATAGCAAACTTCATTGATATGCAGCTTCGATATGAAAGCGTTTTGGCCAGACAAAAGGGAGGGCAGAGTGGGAGATGTGTCTGGGGAGCCCAACTGGCCCACAATAAAAATTAATATTGGTAGCAACAATAGTGGTGGGCCTTGACAATGTGCAGCACAAATTTTAATTAATTTCCATTTTGGGCCTCCCTGGAGAACCTCAGTGATAGTGACCCATGAGCTTGCTGTGATGTTGATTTGAATTGCAGCCACCTTTTCTCTCCGCCAAACATGAGGACCAAAGAGAAGGTCAGCGTTGTATTATAAGTTGTCAAAGTCTGTTGTCCCTCCAGCGTATTTAGTGTTCATTGCGTTCTAGTAATGAATGTGGCTTTATTCACATCTTGAGCCAGCTGACTGAAAAATGAGTGTGTTCAATCCTACTTCAAATTGACTTTTTATATCAGACTAGTTTGGGGGTACTAAAGCTATAAGCATCCTGTTTAACGGAATTGTTTAAGGTTATCTGCTATAAACTGTAACGCAGTGCTTGTTTTAAATTGGAGCTCACATTCAAAAGAAAAGACCGATTTAATCATTTTTAATGCCTTTGTAGATAAATTTGTTCCCTTTTACATAATTTTTAGTTGATTTATAGAAATGATTATTGTAGGTTAAATGAGGAATAATTGCCCATTTTATTTCCACATTATCTTTATATTGTTCTAACAGACTGTTTTGTCTGATAGCTGGTGAATTCTATAGCCAAGACGTATGTTGGAACAAATGCTTATATGGCGGTAAGTAAATTTATGCAGAAATAACATTTCAAAAGAAGTCTTTGTATGCTGCTTTGTTCTATATGATGTAGGATATATTTTTAAATCAGGGGTTTTCTCAGATTTCTTCCTATCTGCATCTTAATAGAGTATGTCCCATGGAAACTGCTCCCATTCACCATCACACAGACTAACTCCCCTCCTCCTTGTGATCACACAGCATCTCTGTGACAGCTACAGCAATTGCTGATAAGGAAAAGTAATATTGGGAAAGTATTTCTTTTAATGTATTTATAGTTGTCTCAAAAGCAGTGTAACAGCTTGGAACAGAGGAGAGCCAATACAATATAAACAGCTAGCTGTCCCGGGGTAGCCAGCATGTGCTTGGCGGATCACCCATGCTCCATTGTTGCTCACAGTTTGGGAACCATTTTTTAAGGTCTCAGTTTAGCAGACATTTAAGCGTGTGCTTAAGTCTCATTGACTTCAGTGAATCTAAACATGTGCTTAAGTGCTTTGCTTGCCTAAAACAGTTTCTATCAGATCTATTCATAGTTCAATTTGAAAATGTTTGCAAAATGTGTAAGGGTGAAAGTGCAAAGTTGGTAAGTGGAAAGTGCTAAGCCCCCACCTTAGTTAACCCCAATGACATACATTGGTTTTGTTATACAGGAAATCACTAGACAACACAGAAAGTATTATACCATTAGACAATTAACTTGCATGTTTTTAGTGTTTGTCACTTTCATGCAATGCTTATCCATTTAATCAGTATGTTCCGTCTATTACTTAACCAAGAAATTTTGCGTGCCATGATGAGATTACTTGTATGTTCTGTCTACAGAATAATATATATATATATATATATATATTTCCATTCCTATTAAATCAGATTAACAAACTTTTATGATATCTCTTTCTGGGGACTTCTGTCATAGGTTTGACAGATTGGATTCTACCATTTTACCATGCCTGTTAAGTGACAAGTGACTCTAGTCCCATTGGAAAGACTAGGTTTAAAATTAAATAAATAAAGTGGTGGCATAAATAATATTGAGAGAATACAGCAAAAGCTACCACAATTTTGTCTTTGCCAAAGTTCGTACAAATGGTTTCACACACCCATTTTGTGGAGTATGAAAACTTCAATACTTCAGATAAGAATGTAGAATTAATGTGGAGTCCTTGTCTAGTGTTTAAAATATAGTGTTGGCAAAAAACATTGCTCTTATATCTAAAAATAAATGAGAAAAATGGATCCTGCCTTTGGTAAAGGACAATCTGCAAACAGTACTGTAGTACAAAATGCCTGGCATTTGTCCTTTCAAACTCCAGAAGATGGGAGGGAGGAGGAGAAATCTGTGACCTTTAATTGCTTTTATATATATTTTTTTCTTGTGTCCTTGTTAGCAGATAACAAGCAGGGAGTCCATTTATTTGCTAAGTGTTTTTCTAGCCAAGAAGTGCACATCATTCAGCCTCTGAAACAATCATGTCACCATCCTAACAAGCCTTAAACCACACTGTGTGATCAGAATATTAGGTATGGGGAAAATGTAAAACACATCAAATGTATTACTTTTGATACCCAGGCCTGCTGATTGCTACAGCTCCAATCTCTTAAAAAAAAATGGAAATACTGTGATTACCAAAAAAAAAACTTCAAATGACTCCACTTCTCTAACTCAGCGCTTCTTCTTAGAGTGGTTTTAAATAGCTCTAATAATTAAATTGTATTTTTCATTTAATGAACAAATCCAGATTACAGTTCTCCTTCCCAGGTGTACATTAAAGAAATTACTTTTTTCTTATTGTTTATGGATGAATGTGATGCGTCCATCTGTTAATTGAAAATGAGAGGAGTCAAACTATAAAATATTTGATCAGATTTCATGTATTAAAATTGCTTTGCTTCTTGAGTGAGTTGTTGCCAGTCATCAAATTTATACCTCAGTCTCCAAAAGATAATATAAAATTGCTTGTGTTTTGTACCAGTATGCAAGAACAAAAGCTTTGGTGTGAAAATATGATTGCAAAACAAAGCAGTGTTACGTGACACTTCGAAACGTGGAAGTAGATGGACAGATGTAACTATTTTGTGCACCTGCTTTAGTGGTAGTGGTGGTGTTGTTTTTGAGTCCTCAGTGTTACATACATGATATTTTACTACCTTAAAGCCTTACCTGTTATAAAAAAGAAGTAAATAATTTAAAAACAGCCAGATTGAACTATGTATCTGATTTGGCTGCTAAATGAAGGCTAGGGTCTAGTCCATACTAGAAAAGGTGTACCTGTATAGCTATGCTGGTACAGCCATACTGGCAAATCCTCCTAGCGTAGAGACCGCTTCTACCGGCAAATAGTCCCCTTTTCCACTTTAGCTTATAACTTGTTCCCTGAACAAAATAGGTTATAGTGGCTAAAGCACTTTTTGGCCAGTATAACTTTGTATACTCTATGGCTTTTGCCTGTATAAAAATATCATAAAAAGATTGCACTCCTAACCCACATTATCATACCAGAAAACTTTCTCATGTAAACTTGTCCTAAGAATAACTGTATTTATGAATGATTGTCTTGGTGGCCACAGTAATAAGATTCTTGTTTTATGTAAGTATGTAACTCAGTATAAACTAAGCATTCTGTCTGACACAAGCTGACTTTTTTGGCATGGTAATTCTGGAAAGCTATTTAGAATGGTGATCCATAAAGATAACAGAGACAGCTCTGTGTTTCTTTACTTAACATTCATGCTGTGATAAAAGCCCTCAACCTGGGATTAGCAGTGCAGAGTAAACATCCCCAAACACGTTGGACTGGCACTAATTTGGGAGTGTGTTTTCTGAAAAGGTCTCTGGATTATTAGAGACTAGAAATACAGCCAGTGGTTTGTAGGTAGTTGGCTAGACAGGTGAATTAATAGCACAGCGGGGAGAGAAGTCTCATGGAGCCTTTTATTGTTGCATTTCACACTGTACTTGACCTTGGAAAGCTTGAATTGTAGCTTTCAGATAAAAACTAGCTGCTTCATTTTACAGTGTTCTTGTATTTCTGTAAATGGGCTGTTAATAGTTTTGAGTGAAATCTTTTTTATTGTTTAATATATTAATTGAAGAGTTTTAAAAGAAAATTGCTAAGCGTGTGACTCCCTTTTGAAGCATTAGCTTGCTAATTGTAAAAGTAACCTTGGTTTAATTCAGTCCCATTAATTTTTAATCCCCCACGACCCTATTCAATTCCTTTACTCAATATTTTTGTTCTTGGTATACCTTACCTCTCACTCTGGACTAGAAGTAAATCCGTTCCATTCATGGAGTCTTAGAACCTGATACGGTGCTTTGTTGTGTAGGTGCACACTGTTGGTTTTCTTGCAAAATAAGATAGTCCAGGCACAAATGCATTAGCCAAGTTTACTAGATACATGGCCATGCAGGATGGCGTGTCTGAGCGGGACAGAGCCCCATGCCTAGTTGCAGAACCCAGGTAAAAATAAAGTGTCATGTTTATGAATAACCTAGTACCTTCATTATTTTCCAGATTAGGCAAATTGAATTTTAAGATTCTTGCAAAATTTTGAGCAAGTTTATTTGCCCAGGGCTAACTTTCAAGAGAGAGATATGCATGTTTGTTTGTCTAGGCTAAAGAAGATGGTTTTTTCCCCCTCCTTTCTTTCAGCCTGAACGAATTTCAGGGGAACAATATGGGATTCATTCCGATGTATGGAGTTTAGGGATTTCCTTCATGGAGGTATGTAAACATATATACTTGTTCTTATAGGCACATTGAAAGAACTGAACTAAATCTAAGATTCAAATTATTTGACATATTCCCTATTATACAACAAAGTTCCTTTTGTATATATAAGCTTAGCCATTGCTCAGTTTCTTCACTGTATCTAGAATGGATTCGTTCTCAGTGGCTCAAATCCACCTAGGTATGGAGAGCCTGTATGCACCAATTAAGCCCTTTGGTAGGGCTGTGCAGTGAGAGTGGGGATCAGGGTACGTGGAGTGCGGTTGGGAGGACATCTCTACACTCCCTGCATGCCACTGGGGGTGGGGTTGTTCTACACCGGGTCTGAAAAGGCCAATGCAGACTAGCCCACTAAGGGTGGGCTATCATAGGGCTGTGGAGATCCAGAGGCTGAGCTGGGTAAGTACCATTCCTGAACCCCAGTGGAGTTCCTTGCAGACAGCCTGATAATTGTGGCTTTGTGCCAGATGGGATGGATTTCTCGCCATGTGATTGACTATACTGTTTAGTATTGGGTATTCACCAAAAGGTCAACTTTTCACGTACGCTCGTTGTTTCACACCTAGAAATGTCTCACTGAAACAAAGCTATGCAAGGAGAATGTGGTCAGGTAGAAATATTGTAATGGGAGATACAGGTACATTCTGCAAGTGTGATATTGGTAATTTTCATTCACCATAAGGTAACTTCTGATCCAGTGAAAATGTAAGTAGTCTGGTATTTCTGCTTAGTACTCATCTGAGGTTCTTAAACCTAAATCTCATAGTTCTTTACAAAGGTGGGCATCCTATGTTGTAGAAAACAACGGAGGGGCTACAGTGCTTAGGATAACTAGAACTGCCAATCATTTGAGGAGGAATTGACAAGTGAAATCAGCTTGGCCTGATCCAGGGGAAAGGGAAAGGTGACTGATCTGGCATCAGAATTAGTCATTGTGTTCGGGATCACCCAAGACTCTTGGTTGGAGGGCTGGTAGAGATCAGGTCTGACTGTTTTTATGCTTTTCTATTACCTTAGAATATTTAAAAATATATTAGTAGTTTGTGGGGAGAACTGTCTGATAACAATATGACCACAGCATATGAAAGAAACTTCTAATGGCTGACCCATGGAGCAGCAGTGATGGCAACCTTAGTATAAATAATGTGTCCCATTTTAATATAGTCTAAGTAGGAAGTGGGAGGAATAGAACAAGCAAAGGTTTGAAAGACCCGGCATTTGTATCCCAGAGTGGTCATCACACAAAATCGAACTAAAGGTCATACACATACTTAAGTGTGCATGCAATGCTTTTTAAGGGGCACACAGGCCTGTGGGTAATATAAGGCAAGAGACCATTAGTTAGATCCCTGGTATTCTTTGCCTATCTTGCATCATTGGCACAATACCATTGCTTTTCTCTTCTTTCTTTCCACCTGTCATCTCAAACTCCTAGCCTCTGTGGGAATCAGCAACACCTCCAGGCTTTCATATACTTCCATAAGGATTACACTGTTCACCATCTAAGTGTCTAGAAAAAATTTCTGCCCAAAGATATGCTTGGACCTTAACTCAGAAAGATTTGTCCTGGCTTTGTATCCTCTTCCACATGCAGACGAAGGGACAATAGAATCCTACAGATGCCATTCCATTCTCTTTTGGTAGATGTCAAATAATGTTAACTTAGAGTGAAATTCCGTCCTGTACAGATGGCCAGTGGTGCATAGACTTATGCTGAAGTCCAGTGCAAGAAAGGGCTTAAATGGGACATAATCTTTGTGCTGGCCCTCTGCATCTGGGTGAATTTCACCCATAGAGAACTGGAAGTTAACCAAGACTCTCATATGTTACCTTATTGAATATAGATATGTTTGTTGAAAAACACATGATTAAACTTAACCAGATTGAAAATACGGGCATCATGTGTTGCTTGTTTAACTTTGAATTATTGCATTCATATCTTGTCAATCTTTTTTCCAAGACTGATTAAAATTAACTCTGAATATACAATAATGACATACGCTAATGGGTCACAAGGGATGCAGTGCTGTTAATTCAATTTACTGCAGTTGGAAGCCACTATTGTCAATGATTACATCACTGGAGCTCTCTCAGAATTTTGGGAGAAATACAAAATTTATTCATGTCAACACAGTCTCTGTAAGTGAGTGTAGTCAACAGGGGGCTAAAGTGAAATTGTAATGCATTCATATTGACCAGGGTAGACTTTTGGTTCAGTTCTGTTCTGATATAAATCATCTACATCATGTATTTACCAGTTCATTAGCTGACTGTGAAGGATATACAATGATGTGTGCCCATGGACAAAAGTGTTGCTTCTTTTCAACCCGAGCAACTAGTCAAAGTTTCGGGCCCTGTGGGTGTTGCAGTTGGGAGTAGGTATTAGTGTTAGGTATTTCTTTGATGTAGTTCAGTTTATTTACAAAGAATGTACAAAGTCTTGTTTCTGTCCACAGAGGGAATCATTTAGCAGGAAACAGCTTCTTTTGCTCACAGTACCAAGAGCACTCTTTTAATCTTCATCCCTGACCCAAAAACCTTTTCCCAGGTTTCTTGCAGGGTCAACCATCATGCTTTCGTCTGCTCCTTCAGGCTGTCTGACCTCAGTTTGTGTGTATTCCCTGTTTGTTCGTTCTCTCTCTCTCTCTCTCTCTCTCTCTCACACACACGCACGCGCACACACATGCAAGCGCGCGCGCACACACACACACACCCCTACCTCAGCCGAAAGCTCCTGAGCAGGTTCACATGGGTGGGACTTATGCTTACGGTTCTGTTAATTGAAGGAACAAAGAGTCCTGTGGCATCTTATAGACTAACAGACGTATTGAAGCATAAGCTTTCGTGGGTGAAT